ATGTCCTATCTTAGTTGAATTACTTACATTTATTTAACAATAGTTGTTGAGGCAGAACCACTTCTAAGTTACATCCAGGTTGAGGACTTTTCCCACCATTTGGATAGAAATCCGCATGTCCTATTGGTCCTGGGAATCCTATAAATAAAACTAATAATCAGCTTTCGCCCGCGACTCTGTCCGCGTGTAAAAAAACAAAAGTATGTAGCCTGCGTTTTTTCAGACTACCCTCTATATTTATGCCAAATCCTCGAGATGGAAACATCGATCTAAACTTTCATATTTATAATATTAGTAAAATAAACATGAAAAATGTCGCCTCATACACTAGATGGCGTTGTTTTCAATTTTTAGTCGTAGTTACTGTTTTATCCGCATTATCTAATTTTTAACCTTTTCAAATATAAATAACAAATTCAAGCTATTTAAATAATTTCAATATTTACCAAAAATCCCGGAGTCCGTATGTATGATATCGACGAATTCAGCGTCCGATGAATCTAATCTTTGCTTCAAGGGTAGTTTATCAAATAAAGGAAGCGCTGGATCTAACCCGGTTATCCTGGCTACGAGACCTAGATACAGAAATATCCTTTATCCATACATCCATCCGCATGGGATTACAAAAAAACTATTGTATTGTTTAAATTTGTCAAATTTTCAATTGCAAATGTCAAATTTCCGTTACTAATAATCTTGCATTCTTAATGTTGGCATCTTGTAGTTTATAGTCCCTTTCCCTTTATGAAGGTCTTTTTTTCAAATTTTGTACCCTCTAAGTTTAGTAGCGTGAAAATATATAGCCTAAGGCATGTAAGTGTAGGGCTTTTTATTAAAGAGTTATTCAAAAATATGCTATGAATGAGATCCTACGCGAAGAAGTGTATTTACGCTTTATTAGTATAGATGAAAAAAATAAAAAAAAAATATAAAAAAACGATCTCTTACCTGATTTTAACGAAGCTCCAGCGACTCCGGCCGACTGGGCGCCTAAACTGTGTCCCACAAAGTGGGTTTTAGATAGATTTAAACCTCTGAAATCATTAAAGGAATTTAAAAAACTAACCCTTGCCTGCGACCTCGTCCGCGCAATATTAAGATAAAATAGTAGCCTATATGACTATCCATGTCAGCTACCCTTTAAAGTCCGGTCGAAATCGGCCCAGCTGCGGAGATTACCCGGAACTAACCCGGCTTGCGGACAGACAGACAAAAAATAAATGCGATTTTCGTTTTCAGCAACGCAAATACATCTTTCCGAAAAATGGAATTCTCTTTTGATATTACAGACACTCCAATTTTATTATATACTAGATGTTACCGTGCGGCTTCATCCGCATGAAATTATAAAAATTTTATTTTATCGTTTACATTTGACAAATTATCAATAGCAAATGTCAAAATGACATGACATGACCTTGACAATCTTGCTTCCTTGATGTTGGCAGCAACTTATGGTATCTTTCCCACATTAGGGCCTTTACTCAAAATATTTACCTCCTAACTTTATTGGCGTGAAAATATGCCTAAAGCGTGACGTAAGTGAAGGGCTTTTTATTAAGAAAAGAGTTTTTCAAAAATATGCTGTAATTGCTGACATCTTAGGCAACAAAGAAGTGTGTGTTTACGCTTTATTATAATTGTATAGATATATTCCGTAAACTATAGTCGGCTCAACTCACCTTGATACTAAATAATCAATAAAATTAGCAGCATAACGTCCGATGTACCAAGTATTTTCAGCCGCGGTGAAATACCAAGGGCCTGCTTCTAAACGTTGGGCCTCTACTATTATTAAATTTGTATCGCCACGTTGCATATACGCTGAAAATGGTAGAAACATTAACACAGAAGATAAGCGTGAAGTGGAAGTAATTCCGTATGTTTCCCGAAGGCTTAATGTCAATGGTTCAGACTTGTAAGCTACAGATCTTGGGTTCGAATCCCGCTGTACCAATGTGATTTTGATTTTTCGAATTTTCATATGTACATAATTTACCCGACGCGACGTTCTTACGGTGAAGGAACACATCGTGATGTCTGCACATATCGGTGAAGTAATTCAAAGATATGTGTGAAGTCAACCAACCCGCAGTGCAGCGTGGTTGACTATGTCCTAGTCACCCTAACTTACGGTAGGCTCCGAGCCCCTCGGTGGGGACGTATAGTGAGCTGGTGATGATGATGAGATCCCTTTCCCTTACCAACTTGGAAAGGATAGGAAGGGAAAGTGTATTTTATGGAGACGTATACCATCCGTTGATTAAATGTGAGGCATATGTCTATAGGAAGCTGTCGCTTCGCCATTTTAGCGATTTCAAGGCTTGCTCTTTTGCCAATTTATGTTTAAAAAAATAGGAATTGAATTTAGTTTTGTATTTTAACTAGCTGTTCCTGTGCGGCTTCATCCGTTTGAAATTATAAAAACTTTATTTTATTGTCTACATATGTCAAATTATCAATAGCAAATGTCAAAATGACATAACATGACAAACCTTGCTTCCTTGATGTTGGCAACAACTTATGGTCTCTTTCCCACATTAGGGTTTTTATCCAAAATATTTACCCCATAAATTTAATGGCGTGAAAATATATAGCCTAAAGCGTAACGTAAGTAGAGGGCTTTTATTAAAGAAAGAATTATCCAAAAATATACTCTGACTACATAACAAAGTGTGTGTGTCATAATCTCCCCTGCCTTATCCTACTCCCGTAGGGTCGGCGCACTGGGTTTTCCCCCTCCAAAGCACTCTATAATCCGTCATCTCAGTCATCACTCCCTTCTTGATCATGTCACCTTACACACAATCCATCCATCTCTTTCTATGTCTACCTCTACCGGTGTACCTCCACATTCATAACTAACGTCCGTCTTGTTACTTGTTACATGCGATTCATCCCTTCTCATAACATGCCCATACCATATTGTGACTACATAACAAAGTTTGTACTTTATTACAGAGGTAGACCTAGAAAGAGATGGATGGATTGCGTAAAAGGGACATGATTAAGAAGGGAGTTATGACATATGACGGAAGATAGTTATTTGGAGGACGAAAACCCGGTGCACCGACACTACGGGAGTAGGATAAGGCAGGGGAGATGATGAGATAGATTTTTACCTTCTCTGACAACTAAAGCGGATCCATCCGTAGCTTGCTCCATAAAAGCGTGGAAATAAATTACAGTCGGATCATTAAAGTTGATATTGGATGCGAATAGTTGTTCATCGTCGTTTAAAACTAATTCTTGATATACTATGGGGTTGTGCCTAAAAAAAATGTTAATCACAGGGGTTGTCAACTCAGAACCCATTATTATATGTGCAATCTATGGATTATTTATTGAAAACTGTATAATTAAAACTATTGCTTGTGTTTTCGTTAAAAAAAATGTAATAAACATAGCCTATGTTACTCAGTAACGTAGCTTTTTAATGGTGGAAGAATTTTTGAAATCGACCCAGTAGTTTTTGAGTTATTTCAATAAATACAAAAATACAAATCTTTCTTCTTTATAACCCTAGTATAGACTAGATGTTGCTTGCGATTTCGTCCACGTGTAATAAAAAAAGTAGTACAAAATCTAGCCTATGTTACTCACTGATAACGTAGCTTTGTAATGGTGGAAGAATTTTTGAAATCGGCCCAGTAATTTTTGAGTTATTTCAATACATACAAAAATACAATTTTTTTATAATATGAGTATAGACTAGTTGTTCGCGGTTCCACGTGAAATTTAAATATAGTACAAAATCTAGCCTATGTTATTCAGTGATAACGTAACTTTTTAATGGTGGAAGAATTTTTGAAATTTTCCCAGTAGTTTTTGAGTTATTTCAATAAATACTAAAATACAAATCTTTCCTCTTTATAATATTAGCATAGGCTAGCTGAAGCTCGCGACTTCGATGTGAAAGTGTAATTTGTCAAGAGTTTGACAAAATATATTTACATATTACCAACCAGCTCATGGGAGGGGGGTCATGATCCCCTCCCCTGATGGTTTCCTACTCTTAACTAAAATACCATGTTCTTACCTGGTAAATAATTGGAATTGTATATCATGAGTTTGTCTGACATACGGACATTTGGATTTGTCAACGGGCGATGCCTGCAGAACTGCGTTTTCAAACTGAATTTCCGGTGGATCTGAAAGAAAGTAGTACTAATATTATAAATGCGAAAGTTTAGATGGATGTTTGTTAGTTTGTAGCCTAAACGACTGAACGGATCTCGATGAAATTTGGTATAGATGTAGAGGATAGTCTGGAAGACATAGGCTATTTGTTTTTTTAATTCCACGCGAACGTAGTCGCGGGCGAAAGCTAGTGTAGAATAAAATTGTCCTTTACAGTATTTAAATTGGACTTATAGTTTAGAAGATATCGCAAACACAAACAATAAGGCTTAGAAATTTGGAATCTTGCATCGGTAGATTTCTGTTACGTAGATTACTAAGTTAATACTTTTGGTAATAGGTTGAAAAAAACGTGCGAACGTAAGTTTTGAACTTTCAAATTTCACGCGAAGTCGCGGGCAAAAGCTAGCGTATAGATAAAGATATTGCAACAGTCGCTGTTATCTACTTCATACTAATATTATAAATACGAAAGTTTAGATGGATGGATGGATGTTTGCTAGAGTATGTAGCCTAAACGTGAACAGATTTTGATGGAATTTGGTACAGATGTAGAGGATAGTCTGGAAGAACACATAGGCTACTTTTCATCCCGGAAATAGTTACGGTTCCTGTGGGATTCATTAATTTTGTATTTTGATGTTTACTCGATAATTCTGCAACGGTTCAACATATCTTATTGAAAGGCACAGATATAAAACAAAGTCTGGAGTACACATGGGATAAGGTTCATCCCCGAAAAATGTCCGGTTCCCGAGGGACATGTTATTTACATAGTTCGTCTGTTTTACCACGCGGACGAAGTCGTGGGCAACAGCTATTGTCTAAAGCTAACTTAAGTGAAACAATATAGATATTAAAGCATTTGATGTTAAGTAACATTAAATGTTCCGTTAAGTAGTGCGATGTTTGTTTACGAAATGAACGACCGTAATACCAATCCTTTGGAGCGTAAACATTGCATGAGATTGTATTACTTTGAGATTTATTTACTCCCTAAGTTTAATAGCGTGATAGCGCCTAAAGCGTAAATGGCTTTTTATTAAAGAACTAGCTGTTCCCATGCGGCTTCATTCGCGTGAAATTATGAAAATTTTATTTTATTGTCTACATTTGTCAAATTATCAATAGCAAATGTCAAAATGACATGACCTTGGCAATCTTGCTTTCTTGATGTTGGCAGCAACTTATAGTCTCTTTCCCACATTAGGGTTTTTATCCAAAATATTTACTCCCTAAGTTTAATGTCGTGAAAATATATAGCCTAAAGCGTGTAAGTGTAGAGCTCTTTATTAAAAAAAGGATTATTCAAAAATATGCTGTAATTGCTGACATGTTAGGCAACAAAGAAGTGTGTGTTTACGCTTTATTATAATAGTATAGATACCAATATTATAAAGAGGAAAGATTTGTATTTTTTTGACCGACTTCCCAAAAGAAGGAGGTACTCAATTCGTCGATATGTTTTTTTTATGTGTGTTACGGCATAACTCCGCCGCTATTGGACCGATTTTGATAATTCTATTTTTATCCGAAAGGTAATACTTGCAGGTGGGTCCCATTTTTTTGTTTAATTTTTTGGAGTCTAAGACTACGGCGTAGTTAAATAGTTTAGCTCAAAATCGCGCGACGAAATTTCGGGTCATTTTTGCTTTCTTTGCTTATTGTATGTATTCGATTCACGTAAAAACTACTGGGCCGATTTTGAAAATTCTTTCACCGTTAGAAATGTAATTTATCTGTGAGTAACATAGGCTACTTTTTTTAATTTGCGGACTTATTGTTTACGGACGACAGTCCGTTATAAGCCACGCACTAATTACTTGTATTCATTTCCGATTGTAACGTAATAATTTAAAACATGCGATAGTTATGTTCTAACGATTATGCGTAAAGAAAGTATTCAGTAGTTAATGTAAATACAACCTTATGTACATAGAAATAAAGATGAAAATTCTACACCTATGAATATCCGGGTACAAAATTGATCAGTTGGAATACATACTACATTATTTTCCTTACTATTATATAGATGTACTAGCTGTTGCCCGCGATTTTGTCCACGCAATCTATACTATTATAATAAAGCGTAAACACACACTTTGTTGCCTAAGGTGTCAGCAATTACAGCATATTTTTGAATAATTATTTTTTTTATAAAAAGGCCTACACTTACGTCACGCTTTGGGCTATATATTTTCACATTAAACTTAGGGGGTAAATGTTTTGGATAAAAACCATAATAAGGGAAAGAGACCATAAGTTGCCTCCAACATAAAGGAAGCAAAATTACTGTAAGGTATTTTGAAATTTGAAATTAAGAATTTAACAAATATAAACAATAAATCAAAGTTTTTAAAATTTCATGCGAGTGAAGACGCACAAGAACAGCTAGTATTAAGATAAAAGTAAGCCTATAATATGCCTGTCTATGTCAGCAACCCTTTAGTGAAAGTCCAGTCAAAATCTGCCCAGCTCCGGAGATTACCCGGAACAAACGCGGTTTGCAGACAGACAGACAAAAGTTAAATGCGATTTTTGTTATCAGCAACTAAAATACATGTTCGCGAAATCATATTACAAACAGACACTCCAATTTTATTACATGTATAAATCATATAAATCTTACTAAACTTAGTTATTACTAATATTATAAATGCGAAAGTTTAGATGGATGGATGTTAGAGTTTGTAGCCTAAACTGCTGAACGGATCTAGATGAAATTTGGCATAGATGTAGAGGATAGTTCGGAAGGCAGGCTACTTCCTATTCTTTTAACGCGGACGGAGTCGCGGGCGATAGCTAATAATATAAATCCTAGTTCAGACGATTGTTTGTCTTTAAAAAACGGCTCTCGATGAGTGTCACATATGTAGAACAACTACAACACAGGCTAGTAATAAAATGTTTCTTCACGCGGACGAAGTCGCGGGATAACTAGTAAATAATCATTGGATACTTACGTATAATAGACAGGAAACAAACTAAAGGCAAAGACTGCATTGTTAAACACAAAAATATATACACTTATATATAAAAAACTATTAAATTTGAAGAGATTTTATTGACAGAAAGCGCGTAAAAATACTTCCTACGATCAAATAACTAAACTAGTTGCTTACACTGTTAGTAAGAGAATGTTTGATATCGATTGAGACATGTATAATGCTATCCAAACTTACAGCAACATGTAATACAAAACGCACAGATTTTAGTGGGGCATATACTTTCTACTATTCCAAACCCTTAGTTTGTCTAAATAAGATAGATTAGTTTGACAATTCATTTAAAATTCAGTAGGGATGGGTTGTGTAAAATCAGCCATGAAACTTATCGATTTTCGATTTTTATTCTTATAGAAGTTGGAATCGATAGATTTATAGTTGTAAGTTATCAATAAAATAAAAAAAACACTGTTTTCTCAGATTAATAATGACCATAACAAATAATGAGAGTAAATAAATATTTATTACTACTACAGCCGTACGTAATCGAATTGGATTTCGCATTATTTCTGTCATCGCTAAATTCTCTACACTATAATAAATAATAGAATTGTCCTCTAAATTAGTTAATAAGAAAATAATAATTTTAGTTGAGTTCGATAATTATTTAAACCGAATATCGACAGTTCATAATTGTTCGCTGCGTGTTTCGTCACTACGATACCTGTCTAAGTACGGCATTTTTCATACAAATTGAATTCGATACTTCATATGCGTCATTTATCAAACTAATCCATCTTATTTAGACACACTATAATAGATTAACTTTTAACAGTGGTAGAGCCCTTAACATCTTTAAACGAAATCGTCCCCACGTAATACCACGACACAAAGACAGGTGTGAATTGGAAGAAATTCCGCGTACTGTTTGATAAGTGCAAGGCATAATTTTAGTCTCCAAGGCCTTAATTTAGTCCCTTTCTAAAGAAAGTTATATAAGCAAAGGTGGCCCTTGATAAGTAAGGGATGGAAAGGAAAAGTGAATCTGACAGTGGAGGAGACCTATAAAGGGAGATCCTCTTTACATGCGTCTTCATATTAAAAGCAACGCATCTACAATTACGGACGTCTAAGGGCAATCGCTTCGCCAATTCGGCGACTTCAGATGGCCGTTTTCCTTTATAGAAAAAAAACTTTCGCCCGCGACTACATCTGTGTGGAATTCAAACCAAAAAATAAATCGCCTTTGTGTTCTTCCAGACTATCCTCTACTATGCCAAATTTCATCGAGATCCGTTCAGCAGTTTAGACTACAAACTCTGCAAACATCCATCTAAACTTTTGCATCATATATATCGATAAGTTACGATGGATGGATGTTTGTTAGCGTTTGTAGCCTAAACGGATGAGGAGATCTCCATGAGATTTGGTATAGGTTTTGAGCATAGTCTGGAAGAACACATAGGCTACTTTTTATCCCTGGAATAGTTACGGTTCCCGTGAGATTCAATAATTTAGTTTTTTAATGTTCACTCGATCATTATGCAATGATTCAACATATCTTATTGAAAGGCACAGATATAAAACAAAGTCTGAAGTACACATGGGAGTTCATCCCCGAGAAATGTCCGGTTCCTGGATACGTAGCTTTTTGTTACTTATACAGTCGTATGTTTTCTAATACCACGCGGACGAAGTCGTGTGCCACAGCTTGTTTACATTAGTAAGATTAGTAAGTAAGATGTGATTTTTAGGGCAATATGCGGTCGTATAGAAAACTATATATCATCTTTGCCTCCGCCATATCGACTGCAAAGGTTAAAATTAGCTCGAGCTGCAAGTACTGAAGCCCGTACAGCGACTAAAGCGCCTTCAATCAGCGTCTGTTGGTGCTGCACTTCTCAGGTAAGTTCAATATAAGATAGCAAACTCGCAGGCCTGAATCCACCGAAATGTAAAGCGACCGCTGCACAAACATCCGCAATTGCAGCGTTGCCTACCCTTCATTGACGGAGACGCACATAAAGAGGACATTTCCCCTTCATATGCGTCTCCACCGTCAAATACACTTTTCCTTCCCATCCTTTCCTCTTAAGAAAAGGATGAAATAGAAAGGGACTAAAATTAGGCCTCCGGCACCACACTCATCAGACTGTACGTGGAATTGCTTCCACTTGACACCTGTCTGTGGTGGTATTGCGTAGAGCCCTACAGTTAAATTTTAAGACATCTTAACAGAGACAACTTACAGACAACAAATTAGACTATCTTACAGGTTTTGTACTTTTCCTATAAGCGTATATGTATACACTACACGATTTTTAGCTGTGCAGTAGTTTTTAACAGTGGTAGAGCCCGCTTTAACATCTTCGCACTGTAGGGCTCTACGCAATATCACGACCACACAGACAGACGTGAAGTGGAAGCAATTCCATGTACAGTCTGATGAGTGTGGAGCCAGAGGCCTAACTTTAATCTCTTTTCGTTCTCACCCTTTTTCTCATAAGAATAAGTTGGGATGGGAACGTGGATTTGACGGCGGAGGAGACGCATAGGGAGGGGAAACATCTTTATGTGCGTCTCCCCCGTCGATTAAGGGTAGGCAACGCATCCGCTGTTGTAAATGTCTATGGGCAGCGGTCGCTTCCCCATTTTGGCGGATACAGGTGGCCGCTTGCTCGTTTGCCATCTCATAGTTTATAAAAAAAAAGTTGAATTGGTAAAACAATCGATAATCCTAACAGTTGTGCGATAGTTTGGTCAAATGATTCCAAAATATATGTAACCCCCAATTTAAAAAGATTTTGTAATACCCACATTTACTTTTACCTCAATGTCTAGTCTAGAATTTAAATTTATATTTCAAACAAGACTTTTCTTATTAAAGAGAACAATAATGCAAATTTTTATATTTTTTTTAACAATAATCATTGCCAAACAATATTTTAAAGGCCCTTTAACCCCTCTAGACCTCTAGTGCCCTCAAGGTTAACGCCCACTTTGGGAAAGATTCTAAATAATAGTTTTTCGATTACAACCGAATACTAAAATAACATTTAAATATGTATAAGCGTCTACAATAGGCCACGAATTAACTACATACTAAAACATGGTCGTCAAATTGTAAAATTTGAATTAAATAATTTTAATATTGTTAAGAAAATATACTATATTAGAGGAAGTTTGACAGTAGCCCCAGTGGTTGAGAAAATAAGAAGTAAAAGGTTAGCGTGGTATGGGCATGTTATGAGAAGGGATGAATCGCATGTAACAAGACGGGCGTTAGTTATGAATGTGGAGGTACATCGGTAGAGGTAAACATAGAAAGAGATGGATGGATTGCGTGAAAGGTGACATGATCAAAAAGGGAGTGATGACTGAGATGACATATGATAGAATGCTTTGGAGGACGAAAACCCGGTGCGCCGACCCTACGGGAGTAGGATAAAGCAGGAGAGATTATAATGATGATTGTAAAAGAAATGTGTAAGAAATATTGCATTCATCCGTGAAACTATAAATTCCAGTTAGCTTTTATTCTTGTATAGAAATACCTAACAACTTGTACTAAGTCTTACATGTACTAGATGCCAGAAGTGATCAATGCCAGCACTGGAAAGCTGGATTCAGGCCAACCGTCGCTATTGTGCAAGCAAAGTATGTTCGCTCGCTGGCAATACCTCATCACCAAGCTGCCCTTATTGCCGCAGGTAAGTGGTTACTAAAAAAGACCCTTTTTGTACCTTTCAGTAACCTTTGTAGTGCAAGATATCAAAGGACTCGTTTAGTTATTTAATAATTTATTAAACTACTGTTACTTTACATTGAATACTAAAGAAGGCCCTTCAAGGCCCTTCTTTAGTGCCACCAGCCACTTGTGTGCTAGTGATCTAAAGTACGGGACCCATTGAGACCTATAATAGTAATGTAACTCACTAACGAAATTACTAACATCATAATACTCAATGATTACTAAAAAAGGCCCTTTAAAGGCCCTTCTTTAGTGCACTTGCCTTAAGTCTCGTGAGCTAAAGATCTAAACCAAAGGAACTCCTTGAGTCCATTAACGCTAAAATTACACACTAAGTTACTAAGCGTTGTAATATATAATGATTACTAAAAAAAGGCCCTTAAAAAGCCCTGCTTTAGTGTCCATTTCCCCCCAACTTCGTTGCGATACTAAATGTCTTATTAAGTCCTTCAATAGTAAACTTAAGGAGGCCCTTTGTGTGATTTCTTAAACGCCCCTTATTTTGTTTCCTACGTAACTTGGGTTCCGAATTCGAACCCCAGGACTTGACCAACGACCAAACTTCACAAACAAACTACTTCTACACCGCAATGACAACCACAATAACAACGCAAAGAACAAACGACAAATCACCAAAGAGCCCGCGACTAGTGGGCGACTAGGTCTGTGGCGAGACACTCATAACATCGCGGTTCAGTGTAAGACGGTCTCGCCACAGCGCCATCTATTAAAACGTAGTGAAAACGACGCCAACACCCCTTTTCTCTGATCTGTAATACACTTAAATGAAGGACCTTACTTAGTCCTTCAATAGTAGTTCCCTTGGTATAGTTGTTACTAAGTTTTCTAAGGGCCTTATATAGTGTAATTTTCTAGGAGTCAGACGAAGGTCCCAAAGAAATCAAGCCCCCAGCGGACATCGCCAATATGCAATATTTTGAGGCCAAACAAATATGTACTACATACCAGGTTTGTTAATATTGTAATATTTCACACAAGCAATACACACACTCTATAGCCACACTCTATAGTTCATTAAACGTAAAAAAAGTAAAATCATTTTAATAAAAAAACAAATCTGCCTAATACTCGTGTATACGACTATTGTAATCAAAAGGCAAACTTTAACACTGGTATAACCCGCTTTAACATCTAATACCACGACCACACAGAAGACAGGCGTGAAGTGGGACCAATTCCGCGTACAATCTGTTAAGTGTCTGTAAGGCCTAATTTTAGTCCTTTTCCCTTTCCAACCTTTGCTGAAAAGGAAAGGATGGGAAGGAAAAGTGGATTTAACGGTGGGAGAGACGCATAGGAAGGGGAAATATAATCTTCACGTGCTTCTCCGTCGATTAAGGGCAACTGCAATTGCGGATGTCTATGGGCAGCGGTCGCTTTCCAATCCGGTGGATTCAAGCCGCTTGCTCGTTTGCTACCTTATATTGTAAAAAAAAAACCTTTAATCCTCATTCTCTAACTCGTAATCTCATTTCAGGCTGCAAAGGAACGTCTAACAATAGCTTTTGAGAAAGCAAACTTAGGTCGTTGGGTAAAAAAACCCATAGAACAGGATCATTTTGTATGCGATATCGTGAAACCAGATCCTAGAGCACTGTTCGCCTAGACGGATAGTAATCCATACGTTTGTAACATCGTGCAAGCGTACAATCTATTGAGAGGCTTTGGACGTGGTTGCATTCAAAATATTAAAACAATCTTATTTAAATCGATAATAAAGTTAATTACAATTAGGATAGAAGATGGTTTAGTTGATAAATCTAAGTTAAAACTTAGAGCAACTGAATGTAAATTAAAATGTAGATTAAAGTTTTGGTCGTGTTCTAAATTAAAATTTTGGTCGTTACATAAATTAAAATATGGCACAATAAAGTGTAAATTAAAGTTTTGGTCGTATTATAAATGTAAATTAAAATCTTGGTCGTGTTGTAAATGTACATTAAAATTTTGGTCGTTAGATAAATTAAAATATGGCACAATAAAGTGGAAATTAATGTTTTGGTCGTCTAATTAATATAAATTAAAATTTTGGTCGTTAGATAAATTAAAATAAGGCACAATAAAATGTAAATTAAAATTTTGGTCGTGTAATAAATGTAAATTTAAATTTTGGTCATTACATAAATAAATATATGGCACAATAAAGTGTAAATTTAAATTTTGGTCGTTAGATAAATTAAAATAAGGCACAATAAAATGTAAATTAAAATTTTGGTCGTCTAATAAATGTAAATTAACTTTTTGGTCGTCTTATAAATGTAAATTAAAACATCGGTAAATCTCAATCAAAACTAAAATTAAATAAGCAGATAGAAATCGAGTAAATGCTGAGAGAAATTGAATCTAAGAAAAAATTATTAAATATTCAAAACGTAGCACATCTGATAGTTTTAAATAATAACTTAGCATAATAAAGATCTCATATATAAAAGTTAAACCAAAGTTTAATAAAAACAACGTACAAATAAATAAATTACGTATTTTAGTAATCTTAAGAAATTAGATTTAAAAGTAAAATAAAAAGTATATCCAATATTACGAATACAAAGATCAAAATTATTATATTTTCCTATTAGAATTATCTAGAAATATGTCCAATTTTATAAAAATCCTGTTAAATGTGCTGTGATTTCCGAAATCCTATATAAAAATGTGTTTACGCTTTATTATATTAGTATAGAGTGTAGATAGATTTAAATATTTAAAAAAAAAAACACTTCCAGTTAAAGCCTTTTAATATTTACTTAGTTAAAAAGCTCAATTTAAAATAATCTCAAGTTAAAAGTACTTACGTTAATACGATTCTCTACTCTTTGAGCGATTGATGACAGCTGTCAAAGTGACAGCTCGTTTCGCGCCAAAACTCCAAATCCTTTCAATAGTATGTATGTATTTACGCCTGCATTATGCTATACGTGCTGGGTTTTGTCCTATTTAGGTGACAGATGAATTAAAAAATTAATATACAGTAATACCTCCCTATAACGCGGTATCCCTATAACGTTTTATATCCCCGTATAACGCGACTCCCTCCATATAACGCGATATTTCTAATTCGTAATGTTCACAATTAACTTATACTAATTGTAAGTTTTTGTCGTATTTTGAAATCAAATTATTTTATTAAATTTATACATGGGATAAGTATAATAAATATTAAATTTGTTGAATTATTTAAATAACGTGTTATACGAGGTTAAAACGCGTTATACAGTTCAAACCGCGTTATAGGGGGGATTACTGTATAACGAGCGCCGGATAACATCGTCAGTTACATCCGTTATAGCGACAAAATTAAACTCGTGCGAAACATAAAAAAAGGTTTTTAGGACTGATATAACTTCGATGTTAACGGTTTTATTGTAAAATATTTAGGGATGTCCCACAACTGGCTGATAAAATGGCGGATTCCGCTTTGGCGCCAAGGGGGGGGGGGTTGTCAGATAGTCGTGGTTAAGTCAAGAGCTTGACAAAATATGTAAATATATTTTGTTAAGCTGTTGACCAACCAGTCGGAGGGAGGTAATGACCCCCTCCTGTATCCGCCCCTGTGCTGATAGCGGCTCTGACTAATGACGTCACTGTCAAGGAACAAAATCCGATATTTCCATCACATTTAAACGGATTATCAGATGATTTACAATTTGGTGGGACTGGCCCTTAACGTAACAGTTTATTTTGATTATTTTTTTATTTATTATTATTTTAAGTACAATTGTATTGTTTAAGATTGAAAATAAACGATTTTTTTTAGTAAAATTCGAGTGCATTTCCGTTTTGTATTGTTTGAAGATGTTTTCAATATTGTGAAGAAAATGTTTACTTTTTTTAATTATAATTCTGAAATAAAATGGTATAATGTGTTGAGTTTCTTTTATTTATTCCTAGACTCCATTAGGCACTAAAATTACTAGGTTTAATATCATACTTTATACTATTACTAGCTGTTCCCATGCGACTTCATCCGCATAAAGTTATAAAAAAATCATTTTATTGTTCACATTTGTCGAATTATCAATAGCAAATGTCAAAATGTCATGACCTTGGCAATCTTGCTTCCTTGATGTTGGCAACAACTTATGGTCTCTTTCCCACATTAGGGTTGTTAACCAAAATATTTACCCCCTAAGTTTAATGTGAAAATATATAACCTAAACCGTGACGTAAGTGTAGGGCTTTTTATTAAAAAAGAATTATTCAAAAATATGGTGTAATTGCTGACATCTTAGGTAACAAAGAAGTGTGTGTTTACGCTTTATTATAATAGTATAAGTATATAGATAAATGCGAAAGTTTAGATGGATGTTTGTTAGTTTGTAGCCTAAACTGCTGAATGGATTTCGATGAAATTTGGTATA